CCCCAAAACCCCAAAACCCCAAAACCCCAAAAGAGAGAATAAAATTTGAATTTTAAAATTAATGAAGACCTTAAATAGTATTGTCCAACAAAGAAATAAACCATTAATCGATTCACAGAAGGAGAACATGCGACAACCTGTTAAGGATATAGAGATTATCAAAGACCCTAAGGCTAAGACTAGCACAGCTTCGGTGGTCAGTATCCCATTAGGCACATTTAGTTCTGATAAAGAACTAGCTAGTATATTGGACCCCAAACTTGCGGGAGTTACTCCAGATCCAATCCCAATGGGTAACAAGATCACCTATGAGTCTTTGAATAGTAAGAAAAATCGGAGAAAGAAAAGGCCAACTCCGAAGCCAAATACTAAGCTTATGAGCAAGCTTTCTAAAACTAGGAACAGTTCCAGAAGGCCATCATCGAAATCGAGGTCTATAAAGAAATCCACTAGGGTAAATCTTTATGTAACTCCATAGTCTAATTTATCTCTCTCAAAGAAGATTAAGAAAAAGCCATCGCTCAGGTACTTCGGACACTTAATGGATAAAGTCAGCAGAAGTGGCATTTTTGTAAACAACAAGATGATCGGCGCTCAAACAAAGGAACTTGACTTGGAGAAAGATAAATCCAAGACTTTACAGGAACAACTTGATGCTAAGAAAGCGGAGACAGATAATTTAGCCAGGCTTCTCATGATGAGCGAGAGCTCTCTTAAATCTACCCAGAGAGAGTTCTTCGAGTTCAAAACTTACAAGCAAGCTCTTGATTCTGAGACCCAAGAGTGGCAAGAAAGATACCAACATCTAGAAGCGACTATGGCTGAGATGAAGAGAAGCCATGAAGAAGAAAGAAAGCAATTCTTTCTCAGAGATGAGCAATATAAGAGAGAAATAGATATTCTTAAAGAGAAGATTGATAGCACAGAAAGGCAATTAGTCATGATGGCTGAAAAATATGCTGCTACTGATAAGATCGAACCAGAAAGGGTCGCTAATATAAAGAAAGAATATGAGCAACTGCTCAGTTGTCATAAAGAAGTGAAGGCAGAAAGAGATTTACTAAAATTAGAAAACAAAGCATTTGAGGATATGTCTAAAGATAAGACTCCGACATATAGTCAGGGGCAGTATACTTCTTCAAGCTTAAATAATGTTCAAAATCCTTCTATTCCTCAACCGATGCTTTCGAATTATCAATCTTTGAAGACAAAGGACTATACGACTGCGGTTTCAGGGTCAGACAGGATCCCATACAATGGATATTCTACAACAAATGAGTTGAATAGAAATTATACCAGCTCAGATTCCAATACTTATGTGAAAAATGATTACAAAGGGTGCTATTCCTCCACAGGTTCTAAATATCAGTACCAAGCCACTGATGAGATAGTGCAGAAGTACAGGTACCAAGACGAGTATGCTACCACTAAAAATACAGACTCCAGGCAGAAAGAGGAAGAGATCATGGGAAGATACCTTAACCCTCAGATTATGGATAAGTCATCAGGCTAATTTGTAGTTGAAAGTATCTATAATTTTCAAATATTTCAATTGATATGCACAAGATGGGGTTTTGGGGTTTTGGGGTTTTGGGGTTTTGGGGTTTTGGGGTTTTGGGG